CGTGTTAACATTTATATTTTTTTGTGATATACAGCTCTAAAGTATTGGTGGTTTTTACTATTTTTCCAGCAATTGTAAAGACCAGGAGCTAGTGATAAATTTTATATTCCTGAATCCAAGGTAACAAAATAAATAATMATTAATTAAAGATTACTAATGTACACTTTGAACCCTTATCATTTATTAACATATCGACTAATTGGAGAATTGGATTAATTATGTTAGGTACCTTGGATTCAGCGGTATCGAATTTATTACTAGCTCTTGGCCTTTACAATTATTGGAAAAATATTAGTGTACACACTTAAATAGATCTTTTTGTATATATAACCTAAATATAAAAATTACTCCTGTCAACATTTATACTAAAATTGGATGTAAGATGTTAAAGTTAAAAACCTGTATTATTCGCTCTACTTATAATTGATGGAGAAGTGGAGAATGATACCAGATGCAATACACTGAATAGTGAATAATGCTGGTCGTAAAAAGACCAATTGTCGCTAGCAGTGTTCGGTATCGGTAGGTTGTCGATAAAATGGCTGGTGCTCATACACTGATTAAATAATAAGGGACGACACGGATATGCTGACCAAAGACAGATAGACGGCCGCGTCAAAAAGTTTCTTTTGCGCATCTGGAAAGTAGATTTCTCTTCGACGACTGAGGCCTTTTTCTTTGGCGGTAAAGAAAGCTACTCGTCTTAAGCTTTGCCGTAGATGAAGTAGGTGAGTGCCGATTTCTTAATTCTGGATTGTATAATATGGATAATTTATTTCTGTCTATGAGACATACCACATAGACATAGAGTATTGTAACTCTATGCAACGAGATGAAAATGGTTTCATTAGAGATGTCTGATTTCTACTTGCGACAGTCTGGCATTATTTATTATCGGTTACATTTTATTTTATTTGATTAAATGTGTGAGCATTTCATAACAAATGTCGATTTTCCCTGGGTCGAAAAACTTGAAAATTTAATAAAGGTTCCTTATAAATTTTTCGTTTAACAATTAAAATATAACAAAAACATATATTTCCAATATTTTTTCAAAAATATTTGTCTTGAAACTATGAAGTTAAAATCTAGGAACTTTTGGAAATAACTGTGTTTTTATAAATATATGAAATGCTGAATTTTTCTAGCTTAAGATTGAAAAGTGAATATGAGGTTTCTCATAAGCAGGTTTAATGTGACCAAAAAATATATAAATTATTGAAGTAATTACTATTTATTTTTTTTTCATAGATATTTTAAGTTCA